GAGTTTTGTTGTCGTGGGAGAAGGGGTAGAGGGAGGGGGAGCCTGCGAATGTGAACTGGGTGATTTGTTTCTTTTATTGAATTTGCAACGGGGGGGGGGGGGGGGGGGGGGTTAGGGGGGGGGGGTGGGGAGGTGGTTAACGCCCTAGCTAGTGCCGGGGCGAAGACTTGGAATAGAACTCGTAGCTCGTGACTGCACGGTTTACGCCACAAAAGTGCTCTTGACATTCATGACACAGTTTTGAGTTTTTTCTTTCTTTTTTTTTTTTTTTTTCGTATTTAACATTTCCTTAATAAACGCAACATTTAAGTGTTTTGTTCCTGGCTTCCTGGTGGTCATTCTGGGCTCTGGGCAGAAGGGAATGCGTGGTGGTGAGGAGTCAGGTTACAGGCCCAGGGAATTCGCTTTGGAGAGCTGCAATTCAACTCGTGGATCCCGAGGAGGGACGAGGGTGTGGGCAAGACGGAGAGGCCTAGGGACTAGTCAGACGTGGCCAAGCCTCAGGCACAGGAGCCATGCTGGAGGAGCATCCTTTGTTTTCTCTAACAGTTAATATTTTATATTTCATTTAGGCTCAACTCTCTGAGCCAGGACAGACAACAGGAGGCCCCCGCGGGGAACATGACACTTCCGTGCAGGGCTCTAGTGAGAACACAGGGTTACACCGCTAATGAAGGGAAGAGATGGTTTGGCCAGCCTTCAGGGAGGGCGTCTTGCCCCTGACCAACGTCAGCAAGAGGGCGTCGGGATGCTGCCGAAGAATCAATAAATAATTAATGAATAAATGTGAGGAAAAGTAGCTGCTAAAGTACATAATGAGGCTAAGTCTCCCTGAGGTAAAACACTGTTACTAAAACACGGCATGCATTGTCTTTGCCATATTACATTTTCTAGGGAAAAGGCCTGGTTAAAAGGGGAACTCGATCTGCTTTTTTTACATTTGGAGTTCCCAACCCCAGGCCAGATAAAAAGGTTCAGAGGAGTTAGCCAAGGTCCTGAAGTCCTGTGGGGGTGGGGGTGGGGGGTGAGTATTACAACCCAAACTGGGAAGGATGGGCTGGAGTGGAACTACAGATGGTGGGAGGCACATTTAGGACTTAGAAATTGAACAGTGATGGAAAGAAGAGCCTAGAAAACGGTGAATGTGAAAGTAACCCATACAATACAAGAACTTCAAGCCTAAACTTGATAAGAGGGTTAGAGCAGCTTGTATTCACGCTTGGGGGTTAGGATCCTAAATATTTTCAAAAACATAAAGGATCCTCTACTATACTATACAATGCAAGACTTCACAACAGCAGATACAAGACTGACTAAAATTCAATAAAAATAATGTGTCCCATTTACTCAGGAAGAAGCACAACTGGTGGAAACATGTCCATTGAGTCAAAGATGGGGATCTAAAGGCTTGAGTGTCCTTTAACATCCTATCCCTATTACGTGTGGATTTCACTCTCAGATCTTGCCAGGAATTATGACTTCAAATGGTTTTTTGAATGCTGGTAGGTTGCAGGCTTGCAGAAAAGGATTGGGAAGTTTTGCCTGCTGTTCCTGTCTTTGCAGCTGGTAAGAGTTTGCTTATTTGTTTTGTTTTTGTTTTTGTTTTTTGTATCTGGGGAGGGGAGCAGAGTCAACATGTAGTTAAGGGTGAGTCATGGAAGACAGTTTACTTTTGCTAATGGATAGGACAGGAAATGCAGGCTTTTTATTTTAGTAGACAGTTTCTGTGGCACCAAGTTAATCTGCTGCCTCCATGTTTCAAAGAGAAACAAAACACAGCAACCCGTTCTCGCTGGGACAAACCAGACGTTTAAAATTAAACTCGGGTTTCTTTCGTGGCTGCCACATCTGCTGAGGGTTCCGTATTCCTACAAATTTATTAGCCCATCAGTGAATTCAGTGCTCTGGTGGAAATCGATTTGGAATCAAAAACTAATCAGCCAGAGTTTTTAGGAATCCTGCTATGTGTTCTGCTGTGCAAGGAGCATGCTTCTAGCGAGTTTCAGACAGAAAGGTTTCACACCTACGGGTCCATTTTCGCTTGTTTGTATAGAACAGACATTTCCATTGAAAGCCAAAGTCCTGAAAATTGAAAAAGGGGCCTGCCCAAGCTATTCTGTTCCTACCATCTCCCCTAGCAATACAATTTCCTTCATACTTGTTCCTCTTAATACTACTTTATACCTCTTTCCTCCTCCCTGCAAAAGAAAATTTAGTTTCTCCTTACCTCAACTATCCAAATTTATTCTCTTGCTCCCAGAAATTGTGATTGTCAGACAAACCAGAACGTGCAAAATTTAGTCCTTAGGTAAAAAAAGATATGTGAACAGAGCTATGTAATCCATGATCTATGCATTTATAGGGAAATGCACATAGTCTGAAAATATCATAGCCCTGGGGACCATTTCCTGCCAACAACTCTTCTCCACAGCCCTTAGATCCATTTGTTACTTCGAGAGATGCCAAGTGGTTCTGGTTTTTATAGATGAGGTGATGTGTGCAAGAAGCTTTTTACACTCCGTATTCCCTGATGGCCACACGGCAACCACTTTCTTTTGTCCCACACCACTCCCTGTCTCACCCTGCCTTTGGCTCCATCTCTCTCTGATTCTACAAATACATTAAATGAAACTTTTTAATCCTGCCCAGAGTGTATGGAGCATTTATCCTTTCCCACAGTCATGCTGTAAAGGCAAGTGAGTTTTAAAAGTCACTATCTGTTTTGCCTGAGAAAACAGTTTCTGCCTTAAGAGATTGGGAATTGAGACAGAAAGATGCAAACAGGCAGATTATATCATCCCACACTTAGGTCCACCATTTGGTCGGTAATTAGTGGGAAGTCCTGAGAGAGAGAGAGACGGCTTTCTGTAAAAGCTTGCTGCTTCGGACACAGTCCATGGGGAGGTATCTTATACTTCCTGAAACCCTTCTGGAAATACAGCAGGAGCAGAGAGAGGTTTTTGTGAGACTCAGCAAGTAGATTAGCAGGGTGGTAACCCCTCTCAGGCTGTGAAGACAACCGCTGATGCCACTGAGGCTGAGTGCCCTCCACCTGAGGGGCTTAGCCAATTGTTGATAAATGTTATTTTTCTTAGGATTTTAATATAGACCTTGCCACTCTCTCTGAAAATGTATTAAGAACTTGAGTTCTGGACACCTTAAGGGTGTTTGAGGGAAGTCAAAATATAAAGGTCATCCACCTGTCTTAGGTCTTGTGCATGATTATTGATTTCTGAGCCATCCTAACTTCTCCTTGGATCCAGAGTCAGTCCTGTGACTGTGTCTTCCTGCACTAATTAGAGTGGAAAGGGAAAGACATACTGGACTATGATGCAGGAAAGCTTTGTTCCAGTCTCTGAGTAGCTGAGTATCCTTATCCCTGAAATGAAAAAGATGAATTCTATAAGGACATTCCAATTCTATGGTTCTATTGAATTAGCTTGTTTAACATTTCCTTGTCCATTAAGATGTTCCATACATCTCTTTATGAGGTACCTTAGAAATATATTTTATCTTTGCAATCTTGGTCCTTTGCATAGACATGTTATTGCCCAGAGTCAAGTACTCTTTGACTCATAATGTGTTACTTGCAATAATCAAAGCAAAATTTCAGACACCCAACCAGGCCTGGGTAGACAGCAGTTTATAAACTGACGGAGCACACGTCATCTCACCAGTGCCTTAAATATTCCGGATCTCTATATTCTCACTGGATGGCACAATGAAAGCAAGCCCATCGAACAAAAACAGGAAACAACTGGCAAGCGATTTGTCTAGATCGTGCACATTCAGGATAATACGTGCTGTTGTTTACAGAAACTTCTTGGGTGTTTGAAGACAAATCAACAGCCAATTTTTCTCCCCCAAAGCATTTTTCCCCTCTGAGCCTCCGTGACAGCACACAGCAGCTGTTCCACATGCAGTTTAGAGCCTTCGTTAGCCTTGGCCTATTATCACTGCCCGGGGGGGGGGGGGCTTTGCAATGCCAGGAGAGGATTCCAGGGTTCAGTTTGTTCTGTAAGACTCAAACCTAGTTTGAAAGCCTGTTGAAGCTGCAAGTCTACAGCAATCCCCAAAACAGGAATCAACAAATCTTTTATCCACCTGCCAAATCCCATTTAGATATGTGCACAATAGCTCAAATGGGATATGTTTTAAAGTCAGTTCCAACAAGAGTAATTGTTTCCTAATCTCTGAATTTAAATTCTCAATGGTTAATTGCCTCCATGGCCAATCTCACAGTCTTCCTTTCCAAATATTTTTGTACTGCTTTAGATGCTTAAAATGTTTCAAAGTCTAGGATCAAATTTATAGCATCAGCTTAGGTTTAAAAATTCTTGGAAACTACAGTTTAGGAAAAAATAAAGTAGGTAATATTATTAGCAAGTCATGTATCATTTATGGTGATCATAATAGAATAGTCTAAATTTACTACTTATATTTGAAGAAGTCAAAAGATTTCAGAGGGAGCTTCTACAAGGACTGTTACAAAGATAACTAGATGCACTTTTAAATACGTCTCAGTAAGCTTACCAACAGTGGCTTGCTTCTAACCTAAATAATATATACTCAATGAGAATAAAAAAAAAAACATATACTCATTGACCTATTTATTATTTTTTGAAGGGCGTTTCCATCCCTAGATATATGTAAGAGTTGGCTTGCTGAAATACTTTTTGAGTGGGTAAATGCAGGCACAAAGTGATCAATACATTAAAGGTCAAGCTATCTGTGATAATGCTGGAACAAAACTCTGCCCTGCTCCCATTGTAAAACTAGTTTCCATTATACAGTAATATTTTCCAAACTCACCAGTCAAACAGATAGTGTTTGTCAAGCACTCATGTATACATGATACATTACAAGTTATTACTGAGACAATGAGATGATTCCTACTCATTTGAGCCATAAAACACAGGCACAGATAAACACACAGGAGGGAAGGCATGTGAACTACCCCAAAGAGTCAAATAATAAAGAAATTGCTCCTATTTACTATTTCTGGAATTCAGAGTGATATGAATATACATACATATTTACACTATAGCCTCCATGTTGGCACAGTTTATTACAAGGAGAAAATGTTAGTTTTTCTCATCAGATTTTTTTTCATATTTGCCTTCTGCCCTCACCAATTCCTCTTTCATTATATACTCCATCCCTCACCCACATCTAAAGATATACTGCCTTGAAAGATTCATTGATTTTTATCAGACCAAGACTCCACATGTCTGATTACTTTGGGAAAAGAATCCCTCTGGGATACGGAGTGTCTCTTTTGCTGTATTTATTTTCCTATAAATTGAGCAGGATCATGTAGTTCATATTCTAAATAGTATTGATTAAGGCAGGTGCACGTGCACTTACATACTCTGTCTCCCATATTTTATACTGATGAAACATAGCCATTCTACTGCAGACTGTAAGTAAGCATCACATATTCTCCAGCTGTTTTATACTATCTGTTTGCAATAAAATGACGCATAGAAAAGTTGCAATAGTCCCAAAATGTTGAGTGAATAAGATTTATGCAAGGTGCCTAGAGTCTTACAATACATCTCTATCTTGACATATATGTTTCAATCTTCATCTAAGAACTGGAAAGAAAAAAAGAAAACTAAAACCCCAAGGGACAGAAAAGTCAAAGATTATATATTGCACAAGCTTAAAAATCTTTAAATGCTAAGTTAAGAGAAATGAGAAAGGACCCTAAATTTGAAGAAGATCAATGAAAACAAGAAGAACCTATTAAGTCTCTAGAAATTTACAGGCGATTCTGAATTCTCAAAATGGCAACTAGGAAATTGTACATTTAGAAGACTTAAGAAAGGATCAAAGACTACCAGGTGAAAGAGCTAGGCAATGAAAGAAGAATGTGAAAAATTGTTAATTCCTCCTCCATTTCTCTCTCCTCTGCAGAGTCTCTCACTATTGCAAGCATCCTGTTATATATAGCTAGCTCAATTTTCTTATATCCAAAGGTCAAAGAAGCCTTGCCTGATCTTCTTATCTTTATCATCAATAAATATTTATTATTTAGTATCTAGTATAGGCATGCCTCTGCACTAGCTACTAACTTAGACCTTGGAAGGTGAGTGCAAAGTATCATGGAATTTAAAGAGGCCTTCTGTGATCCCATCCTGTCTTCTGCTTGATTTGTGTCTATGGAGATCTAGTTACATATGAGATACACATACTTGTGACTTTTCCCCTTACAGATGAAGTACTCTCTATTCTCTATAATTAATGTGAAGGCCTGGACTACTCAAACAACTTAATTTGACTTTTTCCCATGCCTTCAGGTAGCATACATAAGGCTCACTGTACATTATATATTCAAGCTCAAGATAAGCATGAATATGGAAGGCCTAAAGAAAGAGCTCCAAATGAATTTCTTGAGGCTACCTATATTTTTCTACAAATTCATCTTGGGAATACATGTTTTATTCATTTCCCCCACCATGAATTTTCAAGGCCTGAATAATTAACAAAAAGGATCAAGTGTGAAATTCCCTGCCTGACATTTCATAAATGAGCTAAGAAAAGAATGTATCCTTGTTCTGAGTAACATAAATATCTTCTAAATTTACAAAATGTTCAACCCAGAATGCACTACGTTAATTGAGACTCTTTGAGTTGCCATCATCATAAACCCTATTCAAGCTAAGGTTAAGTAAGATGCTGAACTTCCTGACTCAGGGGACTTGCAAGACCAAGGGTACAGCTACTTCAGCTGCACAAGAGGCTGATGTATCATGCCATTCTGATTCTTCCACAATCTCCTTCTTTCAGCAAAGCTCTTCCACCTAGAGAGAGAAGGGGAATAAAAAAAGACCCCCCCCCCCCAAGCCCACACTCACATCTTACCCGTCTAATGACTGTAGCAGAAAGAAACTCTCTTCCTGGGCGAACTCTAGCCCAGTTTGGACCATGTGTTTATCCCTGAACAAATCTCTGTGACTGGGGTGGTTGGAGGAAGCAAGGTGTCCTCGGTCACTGCCATTCCTGTGGTGAGAGGGAGAGAACACAGGGAAGAAGGGTCAGTTCTATTCAACCACAAGCCCCTGAGTCCTCACAGAAGAGATTCAGTCTGTTATCAGAAGAAGCAACAGGGCTGCTGGATATCCTAAAATGATTCTCACCTAGTTCAAAGGAACCAACACCAACTAGACACTGGTAGAGTCAAGTAATTGGACCTACAGCTCCTGACTCTTAACTTAGTATTCTTTTAAAAACCATTTATTCTATCAACTATCTTTCAGCAAGGCTCAGAAGCCTTTTTACATTTCTTTCATGATTCTGTGTCTGTGCTGATGTAGTTGCACAAGCCCTGGGTAGTAGCCTGGATTTCTGGGGCAGGCATTGCCACCACCTGGTACCCAGTGATAGGAATTTCAGCCAGTCGTCGGACATCCCCATTTGTCTATGAAAATAAAATCATTTGCCCACCCTACGTCTCGCCGGGCAGAAAAATGTCCTTAAGATGGTAAATTTTATGTTAAGAAAATCTTTACTATGATCAATTATTAAACAAAATGAACCAAATTTATTTGCTGCAGGACTTCTCTTCTAAGCTTTCTCGCTCTCTATGGGATAGATAAAATATTTAGCGTTTCCAAGTCGATCTGACAAACTCACTTTGATGGACTTTCTCTCATGACCCATCTTCCTTAGAAATGCTGTTTCTCTGTAAGTACATGTGATATTTTTATTGCCTTTCTTTGAATCCTTCTTTATTCTGTTTCTAAATTGTCCCTTATCTGAAATCATCCTAACCCAGAGAGCTGGCCCAGCTTTCTGATCCCACTTTGGGTTATAATTTCTGGGAGTTGGTATTTGGTGTGTAATTTTTTTACACCTTAACATTTGACCATTGGGGGCATACTTCATTACACGTTGGTCTACAAAATCTTGTTCTCACTCTGACACAGTAAAACATGTACTACCCTGATTTACTTGAATTGAGATCTATATTAAGGCCTGCTTGGTTTTTATTTTAAAAGAATGAAATATCTAAGTTTTTTATATCCTCTCAGTGAATAATAATTTTTTTTAATGTTCTTTTATTAAAGTTCTCTAACATTAAGAAGATTTATAAGTAGAAACTTTTAGGGATGTCAAGGCAATTAACCGTGGTAAATATAAGATACATCATTTTAAAATAATAATATATAAAGAACCAAATAGTAATATTGAAAATTTGAAAATTTACAATTGAAATGTATTCATTTTATTTTATTTTTATTTTTACTTATTTTTGAGAGAGATAAGGAGAGAAGTAGGGGAGTGAGGAGAGGAATAGGGAGAGGGAGAGAGAGAATCCCAAGAAGTCTCCATGCCCAGTGTGGAGCCCTATGCAGGGCTTGATTTCATGACCATGAGATCATGACCTGAGCTGAAATCAAGAGTCAGTCCCTTAACCTACTGAGCCATCCAGGGCCTCTGTATTCTCCATTTTAAAGGAGAATTTACTAAAATATTCCTTTGGCTTTGGGATAAACATCTACTTCAAAATTAAACCCATATTTACCTTTGTATGAGATTGCACACCTCAAATATTATAATACAGAGATTAAATTTTGCTGAATTCTTTGCATTTGTTAAATGTATTCTAATTCCCCATTCTACAAAGCAAAGACTTTACTGACTATTGAGATAAGGAAAAGCTATTCAAAGGTGGAAACTTCACTCTTTGATATGGAGTTTCATTTCATGCTTAATGTGTTGTGTAGACAAAAAAATATTAATAATGTTCCATGATTCGATGATTTTTGAGATAAAAATATTTTCAATTTTAATTCAAGGGATTCAGAAAGAGTGCTTAGACATTGGAGAAGTACTATAAGAAAGGTTTTATGACCACCAAGGGCATTGTCTTTTTAGAGCGTGGGTTACCTGTCAGGTATCAGTCGCTTAGGAAAAGTTGAATGAGGGATGCCTGGGTGGCTCAGTTGAGCATCTGACTTTGGCTCAGGTCATGATCTCACAGTTTGTGAGTTTGAGCCCCACATCAGGCTCCATGCTGTCAGCTCAGAGCCTGCTTGGAATTCCCTCTCTCTGCCCCTCCCCACTTGCATTTCTTTCTCCTCTCTCAAAAATGAATAAACATTTAAAAAAAGAGAGAGAGAGAGGTAAAAAAAGAAAGGTTGAATGAAGTTATAATTTTTTTATATTTCCACGTTTCAATGAAATTATAATGCCATAATATTAGGCCATTCTATAAGACTATCTTTCTTCTATCCTATGTTTTCAATTATGAAATGAAAAGTTATTATTTTAAGAGAATTTTGTTTCCACACTGATTCCAAAGCACGTAATCACAGTATAATATAGTCCTATTTTCTCTCTTCTCTTCTTCCTATTGTCTTCTAGTTGTATTGTATTATTGACATAGCAGATTTTCAAGTTCTGTTCATAGAAACTTGGTAGGCATCAAAAAGTTCTTGTTGATTACTGTCGTCATCATCATCCATTCATAGCAATGACTAATAGCTGCTAATATTAACCATAGTTGGTACTGTACACATGTTACTTCAAACTCCTTACATCTTTAGAAGTAATATCCCACTCCCACAAATGCAAAAATGGAGGGAATGAGGGTTGGTAGCTATTCCAAGGTCACATAGCTGAAATGTTCTTGCGCTAAGAGGTGAACCCGGATCTAAGACATCACAAACCAAGAGCACCTCCTGAATGTTATCCTGCTAATTCTTCTGGTGTCAGATTGACAGTGGGGCAAGTTTCAACTTTTTCACACACGGTGCTGTGTCATTGAAAACTTGTATCCACCCCTACAGCTTTGAGTAATGATTTCACATAGAGGAGATGCAAAGCAATTTATCATTCTGGTAGATCTAGAGTTTGCTAGTAGCAGATGGTTCTAGGAGGTGGGAATGTGGGTTTAGGAGGCAATTCAAATGAGCCTCAACTTGTCCAATTATATAGCCCTCTGACTTGGAAATGAATAGAGATTTTAAAAAACGATTTTCTCCCCTGAATTCTATAACCACCAA